AGAAGTTTAGAATCCAATTTCAGTATGGATTTAGTTGTCAAATCACAAAACCTTTGTATTTAGTCTTTTAAAAAGCTCCTTTTAAATATTTTTGCAACAAAATTAATAACAACTACAAACAATTAACATTGATAATATATAAAATCCCTAAACTTAACAGGAAAATGATGAAAATTTAGAAGAATGGCCGGAATGTGATAATTGCTATGGACAAAATAAAGAGTTTTGTGCAAACAGAAAGATGATAGAGATATTCTTCTCTCATGTAGTGGTAAATGCAGTAAAAATTTTCACGCAAATTGTCTAATACCCCCACTAAAACATACGCCCGATGGAGGCTGGTACTGTAATGAGTGCGAAGCTAGAAGTTTAAATAATAAATACAAAAGGCGAACAGTTGGAAATTTAAATAATGAACACAAGAAATGAGCAATTAGAAATTTAGATAATAAACGCAAGATTCAAATTGAGGATTCAATTCAAGATGTTGGCAACAAAATTCTGAAAAAAAGGAAATCGAAACATGACAAAAAATATAAGGCTCGACTGAACACATCGAAAAGAAATCAACCCATAAAAAAATTTGCAAAAAAAAAGAAATTTAATCATGATGTGAGAAGTAAGACAAAGAAAAGTATGTTATTTATATTTTTCATTATTATTATTTTTTTTTTTTAAAAGCGAGGTCTTGCCTCAGTTTTCTTTATTGAATTTGATATATGAGTACATTACATAACTATATAACATAATAATATATACTATCTACAAAAACTGAAACTAGGGCTACTTTACCCTCGACCCAAACTTTGCCAAGAGGGGCCAAAGGCCTCGCTTAGTCCAGGTGTATTGCTATTGTGCTGGGAGATGCATTATGGTTTATAAAGTCTTTTGACCAATTGTTAACTTTCTTTTGTACTTTTGGGCTAGTGCAGGTAATGATCGTATGATTGTTTATATTCGGGGTTACTATTGCTGGGTTTGGTAAATTATTTTGGTTGTTGTTATTTACCGTTGTTGTATTTCTAGATTCTGTATTTGTGGAGTTCAGGTTTCTGGATACTGTCTGACACCGGCTAGTCCAGATTTTCTCATGTATAGCTTGGCTGATTTTGTGTAGTATTGTTTCTGCAGGTTTGTGATCTTTTGTGTTTTTGACTAGTTTGTTTATTGTTTTGCTTTGTCGACAGGTAATTATGCCTTGTAGTGCATAAAGAAAATGCACGTTGCAAATTTGTATATGGGCATCGAAGCACATCAACTACAATAAATCGAAAGCCAGGTTAATAATTTCTAAGATTTATTTAACTAAACATCTGC